AAATTGTATTAACAGGGAGGGATACAATCAAGATCAAGGGAAGTACTAATACCACTCTATAAAGCCTTAGTAAGACCACACCTAGAGTACTGCATCCAGTTTTGTTCACCACATTATAAAAAAGATGTTGAGACTCTAGAAAAAGTACAGAGAAGAGCAACCAGGATGATGAGGGGACTGGAGGCTAAAACATACAACAAATGTTTGCAGGAACTGGGCTTGTCTAGTCTAGTAAAGAGAAGGACCAGGGGAGACATGATAGAGGTCTTCCAATATTTGAGGGGCTGCTACAGAGAGGAGGGGGTCAAGCTATTTTCTAAAGCCCCTGAAGGCCAGACAAGGAATAATGGATGGAAACTGAACAAGGAGAGATTTAACCTGGAAATAAGGAGAAACTTTCTGACAGTGAGAACAATCAACCCATGGAACAGCTTGCCCTCAGAAGTTGTGGAAGTGCCATCACTTGAGACTTTCAAGAAGAGATTGGCCTGCCATTTGTCAGACATGGTGTAGGGTCTCCCGCTTGGGGACTAGATGACCTACAAAATCCCTTCCAACTCTGATTATCTGTTAAATCTGTTAAATATATGTATTTATATTTGAATGCAATGTATTACATTCAATCTTCTTATGTGTTTATTTATTTATTATGTTTAGGTACTACATATCTTGCTCTTTATTCTTATATAGAATTATTGTAACCTGATCCCCATAGAACAATTTCTTTGAACTCACAATTTTGGGTTAATACCCAGTTGCAAAGAGACATACCAAATAAAGCATATTTTGAAAACTGTAAAGTAACTTTATAGTATCATCGGAATGGTTAAGGTATGGTCCTGCTGCAGGAATAGCTATAGGATTTCATCTGGCTACAATAGCCTCATTTTAAATCTAGTCTACCAATTCAGTTATTAAAAGAAAATAAACTATAAGCAATCATTAATAGAAGAATGTTTCCTATATCAATGATTCATGATCTTGCTTTGATGTGTAAAATATAATTCCAATACTTTAAAATTTGAATGTCATTACCAACTGTTATTTTTCAATCTTTATATTATTCACATTTTAAAAATAAAATAATGGAATTATGCTCCCCAGCAAAGTATGTTTTCAATAAAATGAATACTTTATGGCAGGTGTATCCATCCCACAGACAGCTAATAATATCGATCCATAAAATAATAAAAACATTTTAAAAATAAAATAAATTTGTTATTTATATAGGTAGAGATAAAACTTCCCCTCACACATACATTCTAGTCATTTCCAGCTCTAGGGGGAGGTGCTCATCTCGGTTACAAAGCTGAAGAGCCAGCGCTGTCCGAAGATGTCTCTGTGGTCATGTGGGCATGACGGCACACGGAATGCTGTTACCTTCCCACCAAAGTGGTCCCTATTTTTCTCTTTGCATTTTTACATGCTTTCAAACTGCTAGATTGGCAGAAACTGGGATAAGTAACAGAAGCTCGCTCCATTATGCGGCGCTAGAGAGTCAAACTGCCAAACTGCCGACCTTTCTGATCGACAAGCTCAGCATCTTAGCCACTGAGCCACCACATATTTGTTAATGTATATTTATATATAAAATAGTTAATGTATATATTTATATACATTAACTATTTTATATATTTTATATGTGGCCCAACATAATTCCTCTTCATTCAATGTGGCCCAGGCAAGCCAACAGGTTAGAGACAACCATGCTTTATGGTACTCCAGAACACAAAGCTGATCAATTTTAACATATGCCATATTTTAACTGTTGTGGATATTTCTTTTGTCCAGAGATTGATCAAGTGAAGGTAACACCTACTTGTTTCTATTTTATCCTCTACTGAAAACATAGCAGTTAACTGCAGTTGGAAGATGTCTCTCTGAACATTTCAAATGACTATGCAATGAAAACCCATAGGGAGGAGAAAGTATTTATGTACAAGTTTTTACCTAACTTGCAATGAAATATCAAAAATCAGTGTGAAATTTTACATTATTCCCTTTTTTCCTTTTGGTTGTGTTGTTTATGTTGTACAACTTTAAAGATAGAAACATTATACCTTTATTTAGTATGGGCTTAGTTAGGGCTTTCAAAATTATAACTCCCCATGACATATTCCAGTTAGGAGTGGTATGGTGGCCTAGAGGTGGAGCTCTTGCCTCACAATCAGGAGGCTGTGTGTTCGATTCTAGGTAGAGGCAGATATTTTTCTCTCTGGGCAGAATGAGAATATATCTGCTGAACAAAACTCAAAATTGGTGACAGGAAGGGCATCCGGCCATTAAAACACTCTGCTAGCTTCATTCAGTTTCCCAGACTCCAGCCTGCAAGGGATTATGTGGTCATTAAAAGATGATGATAATGATATATTCCAGTTCTTTTTATGACATTTCTGAGGCACGAGGACCATAAACAGAGGTGGTAATAGCAGGTGAAGGAAACCCAAATCAGAAATGCAGGGATGGGGAAAATAAAGCTTAGGGCTTATCACTTCTAGACATTTTCATCCTAGTCTAGTTTTCCATTGTTAAAGGACGAGGAAAGACGATGGTTGGAGAAAAAGATATTTTTGTAAACAAAAACACAAAACCCACTACATCAGATTTTGTTCCATTTCTAATGAATATTTATTCTTATTACACCTTCGCTAAAGAGTATAGCTAATTTATCAGCAGCTAAATTTAAAACCAGCTATTATGGTTTTTAAAAAACATTTTAACTGTTTTAATTGTACAATTGTTATATTGTAAGCTGTCCAGAGTCTTTTGGAGTGGGCTGCTACACTAAATCTAATAAAGATTTTGTTAATGGGTGCTTTGGTCCAGGTAATTCAACACTTTAAATGGATTAAAACACACACACACACTACAGAAGAATTAGAATACTTTTTTTAAAATTGTGAAGTATTTCATTCTATGGACTTTAACATTAATTTCAGATTCCTAATGGAAAGAACCCTTATTCATAATTCATGATGAAATCAGTATGTCTACTGTATCCTCTGTGTATGATGTCAAATCCATGTTAACATAAAAAAAGAGTAATATATATTTCAGAGGACCTGAAAAGAGTTCTACTCTTTATCCAGTTAAAAATCACAACAATGAATATAAAGAAATAAAAATTAAACAACAGATTGATACACCCAATAATACAAAAGTACTTTGTTATTTCCTTCTTCAGGGTGATTTTTTTAAAAATTCCCAATCTAATCTACTGGCCTGGATTTCCTAGTGGTCTTCCATCCAAAAAATTTCAGGTCTGATCCTACAACTAGATAATCATTACCTCGCTGTATATAGTGCCAAGAGAATATTGTGTAGTGGAAACACAGCAGGAAATTTTAAATACTCTTCTGTTGTTCACAGGAAAAAGCAAAATGTTATGTTCGTTTGTTTATTTAGTTATGAAAATTGATATGACCACCCAACTCACTCAGTAATTCCGGGAGGCTTAGAAGGATTTTTTATTTGTTTATTGTAAACACTTTGATTACGATCTCCTAAAAACAATTGTACCCAGACAACACACTCTTGGACTGAAATTGAATTTTTATATGTTATACAAATAAAGCAAATAAAACTTTTTGAAAAGGATATCTTATTTGTATACTACCTGTAGCCCCTTGTGAGGGAGATGGGCAGTTTAGATAGATAGATAGATAGATAGATAGATAGATAGATAGATAGATAGATAGATAGATAGATAGATAGATAGATAGATAGATGTAGAAAGGAAGGTAGACAGACAGAGAGACAGATGTCTTCATATAAACCCTGGAAACAAGGTTTGGAGGAAGAAAGATGGAAAAACATCACCAACTCAGAGAAGTCTGTCAGTCAGTCTGAAAACTCAAGAAAGTTGTATATAATGGGGGAGGCGGGAGCTCTGATCATGATATTGGTTGCTATCTTGATTTTCAACTATCGGATCATATATAATGATAGTAATGTCTCAGTTTTGAACTATCTCAACTATATTGTTTTTGAATGATGGATGAGGTTTATACAACTATCTACAATCTGTTTTCTCCACTTGCCTTGGAACTCTCACTATTCCCACCCTGTTTGTTTAGATAGAAGGTTGGTATTCTAAATAATATTTTAACTTTCTGCACAATAGAGATGCACAGGTTAAGACAACAAGTTCGTGGGAAATTTGAAATCCATGTGAAATAATACATGAATAATACATTCTTCTTTAGATAATTGTTTTTAACCTACATTCATAGGTAAAATGACTAATATGACTAAATATGACTACAATTCTAATTAAATGCTATATAAAAGGAAGGAATAATCTCACAAGAGCAATAAATAATTATTGTTTCTGCATTTACCAGCTTAAATACTTAAAATAAAGTAGAAAAAACAGCAGCTACTATATTTGGCTATATTTATATAGCATCTTGATTAGAAAAAAGCACATGACGGCTTATTGACTACAGTAGGCAAGGAGATTTTTCCAATAATTTCAAAATTACTTCAAGGAAACATATATTATTCTATGACCAAAGTATAATGAAAACCATTGTTTTAAAGACTCACATAAAAGAGATCAATTATTTTACAACATCACTACTTTAACCTTAAGCTCAAGAATCGTGTTAATATGCAGTTTATATGCATCATATAATAATGTCATCATGCATCATCATGTATCAAATACATATTCAGTAGGTTTGTAGTCATAGAATGATACAAGTCATAGGTGAAAAGTGAATATGCATCAAGTAAGTTAGTGGCCAATGTTTTCTCCTTTGCAGCAAATACTTTCAACATTTAACATTACAAGGTTATAAATAGATTGCGTATACAGAGAACGTAGATGTAAAACAGAAAAATGTTTTTTTTCAATGAAAACTCAAGATTTTTAACCAATTAGGAACGTCAGCACAGAGATGAACAAATTAAGTACAAAAATAACTGAAGAACCCCTCATCCCCACAGAGAAAGACAAAGTTGGGAGCACATCAAAGGAAGTGGAAGAAAAGTGTTACCCATAAGTAGCCGCCGTTTCACCCGCTTGTCCACATCAGCTACTGACGTGGCATTGAACTCAGAGCTCTCAATTGCAGCCTCATCCTTCTCTAAAACAAAGGAAGGGACAAACATGGAGCACTTGGTTAATGAGAAGCCCAGTTTTCCACTGTGGAAGACAGTCTCTTGGCTTTGGGCAACTAAAGCATGAAAACATGAAAACCCCGTTGAGAAATGTGACTCAAACCCCAGACACAAACCTAGGTGCGTTGGAGGGAGGAAAGAAGTGCTAGAGGTGCTAGAAGAGGGTGAAAACAAAAGTCATTCACCAGCCAACACTTAAGGAACTGATCTCCCACTAATAAAAACACATACACAAGAAAGGATGCCCCAGAAGGGTGTTAATTTAGAAACATAATTTATAACATTTAAAGTAAACATATTGTTAAAAAAAGAAGTGGGGGGGAAGGTAAGTATGACATGTTGACAAATGCAAGTTTTTGAACATGGAACAGAGCTACAAGAATCCGGTGATGGGTGGGCATGGAAATGTGCTCATGTTGGTTTTGTTTTTTTAAAAATAAAAATAAATAAAACACAAGAAATTAAAAAAAACGCATGCATTTTTTAAAATAAAAGATAACATAAAAGAAACACAAACTTAAAAATGAACCAAATTGGGCAGTGCTGGTTGCCTGCTTGTCTAATGGAACACAGCTAACTAAACATTCAGTGCTACAAAAAAAGATGTCATAGGAAGAGACTAATAATTTTTGACGCATGCGGTATAGCAGAGGGTGGTGTTAGTGATATGGCATCTTGCAGGGAATTTCTGATGTCTGGTATATGAAAAGCTCCAATTCAGCATTACAGCAAATTAAATATACCCCCAAATGATCCATTTGCAGGGATGAAAAGAGATCATATGAGTAAAGAGTGGGTTAAATCATACGGAAAGCAGTGGTGGCGGAATTAAAATTATATAAAATGGAGGACTGCATTTCAAAGAAAAAACAAAACAAAACACAAGGGGGGAACTTGTACATGCAGCAGACATAAAATAAGAGAATAAGCCAAAGAAACAAAAACAAAATGGATTAGACCAGGGGTGTCAAACTCAAGGCCCGCAGGCCAGATCTGGCCCGTGGGGGGCTTAGATCTGGCCCACAGAGCCACCCTGGAAACAGTGAAGGATTGGCCCACAGTGCCCCTGTCAGCAAAAATGGAGCTCAGGAGCTCTGCCAATGCCCCCCCCCGAGCTCAGTTTTTGCTGGCAGAGGGCTATAGGAGGCCATCGTGGCCAAAAATGGAGGTCTTAAGGACTGCATGCAGCCCTCCTAAGCTCTGTTTTCACTGGCAGAGGGCTGCAGGAGGCCATTGCAGCCAAAAACAGAGCTTGGGAGTCTGTTCTAGCTGGCAGAGTACTCGGGCCACCACAGGTGCCCCTGACATGAGTGACCTCAAGTTGGCCACACGCAGCCCCCCCCCCCCCCCCAGGTCAAACACAGTTCTAATGCGGCCCTCAATGAAATCGAGTTTGACACTCCTGGATTAGACAAACAGATAACTTCGGCGCCTTTGCAAATATTTGCATCCCTGCAGTGATGCCAAAATTGCAGACATCACTGAGGAGAGTAAAGAGAAAGGAGAAACAAGGAGCAAAAGAAATCACAGGAAGGGAAAGAAGCTGGCAGGGTTTATCTGTGGAGAAGCTAAATGGTTCTGTTGTTCTAGGAAGAAATCAAGTTCTAGATGGGATCAGGCTGCAATAGAGGCTTTGGTTTGGCATTTTTTTCCCTTTTTTTTTTTTTTTAGTTTTTGTTTTTCCAGAAATAATTTATTAACTTCAGATATCATACAAGACAGGCAATCAGGAACCATCACCAGAAAGCAGGAATAAAATGAAAACAAAACAAAAAAAATGAACAAAAATCTAAGAGAAAACTCTACTCAGAAAGTGGAGAAGGAGGTGTAAAAAAATGCACACACAAGCAGCAATATGCGACTTACATCAGAACGAATAGTGTAACGTGACGTCATATTATATAGCAACATTGCGAAAATAGAAGGAGAAAGTATAGTTTTCAGTGATTCAACAGTATGCCAAACCAAAAATCATTAAAAGATACAGGATAGAAATTTTTGGTTTGTTTGTTCTCAGAACCTTCAATTATCAATACTCAGATTCCCAAGCCGTCCACAACCTAAGATTATTCTCTGCAGTTATGTGAATAGTCCTATTAGGATGATTCTTAATTATTCAAAAGTACAACTATGGAGAATCCCCAAATATCCTGAACCTAGCATAGCAGTTACATTTTACTTAGAATCTTAATCTGTCCACTTTTAAAAATGAAATATATTCATTTCACCCAAGCTAATAGTTGTGAACTAACGCAAGGCTGAGGTATTTCCATGCTTGGGACCAAAACCTCTGGTTTACATAATCAAAGTTTGTTAAAGAAGAGTTGGTTACTTGGCTTCAGTAGTCTTTAACATACTGTATATATTGGCTTCATGGAATTAGACATTTTTTTTTAACAGATGACTATTTATTTTTCTATAGATATAAGCTAACTTTGGTTAATGCATCCATATTTAAAGAAGAGAGAATTCTGTATAAATGGTATAGTATGCATTATCAGCTCTGGTTCATGAAAACGGAGCTTCTATTTTCTTCTATGTTTCATGGTAAAATTTAAGTAGGAATTATTATTGGACTTTCTGGCTTTTATATTCGGATTCCATTTAAAAATTAAATAAAAATGCCATCATCTGTTATCTATCAGAATTATTTAAATATCAGACACTGTTAGATTGGAGAAAAATCTAGATGTGGATTTCAGTCAGAAATACGTTACTCACTCCTTAAAATCAGCTGGGATTTGGCCAGACACTCATTTTTGTTTAAAGTGACAAATCCTTAATCAGCTAATGCATCATTATAATTATATTTATTTGTTGGCTTACATGACATTCACAATCCAATCTTATCAAATAACGTTAAGATTGCTTAACAAATCCTTTTCTACAACGGACATCACACAATTATAGAAAGGTACTTACCAATGCATGTTCGGCCGTCTGAATGCAATGCATATTTCTGATGACAACCGCATACAGGGCCACTATCTGTGTCATCACACGTGTGTTGGCAGCCTCCATTTCCATAGTTACAGGTTACTAGTTATTTCCCCAAAAATATGTATATACATATATATGAATAAAGCAACAATAAAGCCAATTAGTTCTTTCTGTGTTCCAGACACATACAATGATTTACAACTTAGAAAGGCAATGCACATGACATTGATTGATAAATGTCTCCCCAAATTTCCCTGCTAAAGAGCAACAGTTTTAAAAAGTTATTAGTCCCAATGAAATGTCACTAAAAGTAAAGTCATTAAAGAATGTACTTTTTATGAGGGGCTTCCACCTGTTCCAAACACTATTTACACAGTGTACACTCCTTTGAGGCACAGTCCACAAGGCTATAAGTAGATGATATAATTGTTTACTTTTGTTAAAATACAGACTATATATTTGATTGATATGAAGAAAGGGTCTTGAACAAAAATGGCTGTATACAGTAAGAAAAGTGAATGCCATGAGATTGGGGTGGTACAGAAGTTTTGCAAATAAATAAACGGCTCTTAACACCATGTTTTTAACTAGACTCGCTGATTGCCTCATCTAAGTAATAATTTAAGTAAGGAAGTATTGCACTAAAATAAATGCTAAATAAGAAAGTAATGAACTAAGACATGCACCAAATGCCCAAAATAACTTTCTTCCAATATGTAAGTAGCAAGAAGAAAGTAGAGGAAACTAATGGCACTAATGGCAGAAGATGACAAGGAGGTGACAGGCAACAAGGAGAAAACAGAACTGCTCATGCCTTCTTTGCATCTGTCTTTACACAAAAGGAAAAAAAAATCTCAACCTGTCAAAAGCACCACTGTGGACAGAACAGTAATGTAGACCCAAATAGAGGCGGAATTGATAACAGAACACCTATCCACTTTGGAACAATTCAAATATCTGGGACCGGATGACTATATTCAAGGATATTGAAGGAGTGGATGTCAGGATTCCAGCAGTGGCCCTAATTAAATCATGAGATTCGAGCCAAGCTTCAAAAACTCCAGAGGATTTATTAGGAGCTAACATGTCGGTATGACCTGTGTGTAGCCGATTCTGAGTAATTCACTGTCACCCTTGATCCTGGTTTTCCCCCACCCCTCTGGGTGTATTATAATTCATATTCTCCAAGGAAACACATCCACAGCCAAGAGTCATCAATCATGTTCTCCAATTAGAGATTTGCGCAGCAGAAACTGCAGTCGCTTAGTTATAATCTTTGCAAGATATGAATGGAATGCACTTTCGATTCCAAACTGCTGTACTGTTCTTTCAAACTCCTCCCCCCCCCCTTTCTGTTGGCAACTATAAAACGGGCATAGAAATGTTTTATGAGTCGACAGCTGACAGATGGGATGTCAGAACCACCAAATGAAATTTCTCAGAGCTCCCACGGCATGAGAAGACTGGAAAAGAGCTGATGTGATTTCAATCTTCAGAAAAGATAAAAAAGAGGACGCAGGAAACTACCGACCTATCAGTTCAATCTCAATACCTGGGAAAATCCTGGAAAGCTAATCATCCATCTTATCTCTTGTCTTCCACTTCTCCTGCTTCCCTTATCTTTAGAACTATAAGCATGGGGGTTTTGTGTTGTCCATTATCTACTCATAGTATATGCCCCAAATTCATATATTTCTGTTGTCACAGAAATATACTTCATGATCATGTATGGATTCCTGGACTGATAAAAATTAAAAGGCTGTAATGTAAACAGCCAGCTCAAACTTAGCCATCCTGAATGAAAAGACTCTCCCTCATCAGATTATAAGAAAACTGGAAAAGATAACCAAGCAGAGGATTTGTAAACAAGGCAATTACTGTTTGTTACAAATAAATACATCAGATAAACCTTATTGTCCTCTGTGATAAAGTGACTAAATTAATGTATCAGGGAAATCCTGTGGATATAATATACTGAGTCTTCACTAAGGTATTTGACAAAGGAGACCATAACCTACTTCTTGATAAGATACAACAATGTGGAATAGACTGTACCATTATTAGATGGATTCACAGTTGACTGACCAGCCGCACTCAGCATATAGTCCTCAATGGAACTAAATCTACATGGAGCAAAGCATACAGCAGGGTACCTCAAAATCTTGGGTTCGGTGATCCTCAACATCTTGCAAATTTGATAAATTCCCCGTCTACTCCTCATTTAAATCGTTTATGAAGATATTGAAGAGTATTGAACCTAAGACAAAACATTAGGGTTTCCCACTGCTTACTTCCCTCCATGTAGATGTAGTTCCATTAATGACTACACATTGAGTATGGTTTGTAAGCCTGTTACAAATCCATCTGGTGATGCTGCTGTCTATCCTACATTTTTCTAGCTTACCAAAAAGTAGGTTGTGGTCTACTTTGTTAAATGCCTTACTGAATTCCATGTATATCATATCCACTGCTGGTCCATTAATTTGGTCACTGTATCAAATAATGAAATAATATTTGTTTGGCATTATCTCTTTTTGACAAACCCATGTTGGCTTTGCAGATCTTTTGCTTGATTATCTTTTCCAAGATCTTTCCAGATATTGATGTCAGGCTGATTGGTCTAGAATTGCCTGGATTACAAGAAATTTCCTGGATTGCTGGAAATTTCCCTTTTTTGAATATGTGAACCACACCAGCTCTTTCCCAGTCTTCTGGCAGTTCCCTAGTGCTCTAGGATCTTTGAAAGATACGGTTCAATAGTTCCAAGATCATGTCTGGCAGCTCCTTCAGAACTTCTGGATGTAATCCATCAGATCCTGGTGATTTGAACTAGTCTAGGGTGGACAGGAGTTGTATTACCATTTTCTTGCCTATTTTAATTTGAATTCCTAGACTGTCTTTTACATTCTGTTTTCGGTAGGCTTTTTTCTTTTTGTATGAAGACAGATGCAAAGAAAGAATTAAGCAGCTCTGCTTTCTTCCTGCTGCCGGTCACTTCCTTGCCATTTTCTTCCATTAGTGAACTAATTCTTTCTTTGACTTTATTTTTTTACTCAAAAATGTCCAGTTTTTAAATACTTAATTTCAAGGGGAATTAAACCTCTGCTAGCCATATCATCCCTAAGTGTAAAATATATATCCAATTTTTTTGTAAAACATATTAGCTTTCAATTAAGATTCTTTTAAAATCTATTCATAAAACTATATGCTATGCATATTTGCATATAAATTCTATTTTGCTATGTGTGCAGCAAAACTTACTTTGGATCATCTTACAGGCATTTTATTCCTAGTTTCAATATTTTGTTCTAAAGCAGCCTCCCAGAAGTCCATAAATCAACCCTTATTCCCTTGCCCCTACATCACCAAAAAGGAAAAAAAAAATGATCTTGACCCTTTCCTTTTTTGGAAATTTGTCTGATGAATGAACTGCTAAGGGAAAGCAGAACTGATTCTATCACTATAAAGTACTTTCTGATGCCACTAAGTTAATTTTTCTCCCTCAGTGGCAATTTCTACACTAGTAGTTTATAGTATGTTCGAGTTATCCAACTGTTCTTCTATCAAAATAAAACCATTTTGATGAAACTACGAAGTTGGTGTGAGCAAGGAAACTATTGATATGTCTCAAGCTGCTCTGCCTCTGCATTGTTTTGTTCCTGGCTTTTCTATTTTCAAATGTGTTGCAGCTAACTCTTGTTTTTCCCAACTCCCAAACTTCTGCTTGCTTGCTTGCTTAAAAAAAAAAAGGACACGGTGTACAATTGTTTGGCAGACTGGACAGTTTTAAAGCAGAAGCATTTAATGCCTGCTTGCTTTACTCCCATTTTCTGAGCCCACTTGTGATTCTTCACACTCCTGTTCACATTCATCAATAAAGCAAGCAAGCTAGCAATGCTTCTGCTGTTTCTTTGTTTTCTCTTTATATATTTCTCTCTCTATATTAATGATAAATTTTGTCATTTAAGATTCCCTTCATTCTTACAAGACTACAAAAAAAAAATTAGTGGTATGCTGCCAGTCACATCACGGACTGTTTCTTTGTGTGTGTGTTTGTGCGTGTGTGTGTGCGTGTGCGTGTGTGTGTGTGTACACGGGCACATCAGAGGTGGTATTCAGCAGGTCCTGACGAGTTCTGGAGAAACGGTAGCAGAAATTTTGAGTAGTTCAGAGAACCAGTAGTGGAAATTTTGAGTAGTTCAGAATACCACCTCTGACTGGCCCCGCCCCCATCTCTTCTCTGCCTCCTGAGTCCCAGCTGATCAGCTGGGTCTTCTTTGGTTGTCCTGCGCAGGAGAAGGGAACTGGAAAGCAGGTTAGTGGGGTAGGGACAGAATGGGGATTTTACAGTATCCTTTCCCTGGAGTGGGGTGGGAATGGAGATTTTACAGTATCCTTCCCCTGCCACGCCCACCAAGCCACATTTACAGAACTGGTAGTAAACATTTTTTTTTGAATCCCACCACTGGTACACATGTACGTTAATATGTGGGTGTATGTGGGTGTCCTTTTAAATCAGTTTTTGTCTCTCGAAAACTGCCTGGAGTAGTCCCTCCAAGTTTCTTGCCAAGCTGTTTGGGAAGTAGGTTATCATTGCCTCCTTCCTAGGGCTATAAGAGAGTGATAGGTCCAAGGCCACCCAGTTAGCCTCATGTCTAAAGCAAGATTAGAACTTGAGGACATCAAGTTCCTACCTTGATGCCTTGACCTCTGCACTACACTGGCTTTCACTATGGATTGTTAAACCCAAAAATTATTTCTTCTGCTTTAATCATCAGTCAAAATTCAACTTAAAATCTGAGCCAGTAAAGCAACAGAATCATGTTCACTCATTGGGGGCCACATTGTGTTTTTGAGCAACTCAAGATCGTTGAAAAGTAGAAGGAACATACGACGGAGTAAGGAATTAATTTTATAAACTGCCCAGAGACCCTTAGGGTAGATAGGCAGTGTACAAATTTTTAGAAATAAATATTATTGAATAATTATTCAATGATTAAGTTTCTACTAGTCTTAAACTAAGCATGTAACTGCCCATACATAATAATAACACAACAGATATAGCTGTGGTTGAAAAGATGAAAATACAGATAATTGATGTGGCATTGTCAGGCGCTAGTAGAATAGAACACAATACATTAGAAAAGACTACAAAATATCAAGATCTGAAAATCAAAATTGAAAGATTATGGCATAAACCAGCTGTGCTGGCCAAAATTCTGGTTGGCACTTAGAAAATCTGTGCATTGACAAAATTTCCATCTATTGGTTGCAAAGGGCCACACTGCTTGGATCGGAATATATATTAACTACACCAATACATTATGACATCCTAGGTTTTGGGGAAGAACTTAATGCATATGAAGGCCAACACCGGCTAAAGCATTGGCAGCTCTAACTTCTCATCATTGGGAACAGATAATGATTATTAAACTGGCTCAGGAGGCAGCAAATGCCACAGAGAAGATTAACTAGGGTTGGATATTCGAATTTTCAACTACCATTTTAGCTTCATAGAAATGGTTGGAAAATTAATCTGTTAAATCAGGGGTGTCAAACTTGCAGCCTGCAGGCTGGATGTGTCACGTGCTGGCCACGCCCATGCCTGGTTTAGTGAAGGGAAAAAAAGTTGTGATACATCCCATGACGCCGCTGTGAAACCGTGAGTTTGACACCCCTGTTCTAAATGATTCAATTTCTGTTGCTTCTTACAGGGGAAAAAAAAAAAACACTTCAGCAAAAAGCTCCAGTCAATAAAATCAAACTGTTTTCCAGATTTTAGATAAGGACAGCACTGTGGAAAATAAAGCACATTGGACATTTGAAACCTTGCATACGTCTACCTACATTTGCAATCCTTCTGGTTTTTGGCAAGTTCAAAGCCAGGCCTACATTCACAGGCAACTCCACCTTTGGGTGTCTCCCGGCAGATATGTTCACATCCATGATCTTTGTTCATGCAGTTCATACCCTCTGGGGAAAAAAGAGAGAGAAAAAGATGTTCTAAGAACAATCTGAACAATAATAAATTCTCAGCAGTCATAAGGATTTTCTGTCTCCTTTCATATAATATAGAAAATAGTACTCAGAATCTTTCTTGGCATCACTAACTATTTATAGTCATTGAATGAATAGTCATTACTATTATTGTTTACTATTATTGTGGTTATTCTTTTAATACACTCTTCCATTACCAAAATTAGGTTATACTGCATTTTAATATTTCAACATTTAAAGGATAAGATTAAAAGTTTTTTTTAAAAAAATCATCTGTGCTGTAACTTAATATGCCAGAAAGAACGTTCCTGAGAGCCAGTTTGGTGTTGTGATTAAGTGCTGACCTTGAAACCAGAAGGTTTGAGTTCTCACCTTCCTTAAGCATAAAATCCAGGTGGGTGTTATTGGTCTAATAATTCAGCCCAACCCACCCTGCAGGAATTGTGTTGTGGGAAAAATAGGAGGCAGAAGCATTAGGTGTCATGCCCGGCTGGGCAGATCAGGGGAGAGATAGAACAAGGGAGAGAGAGTTCAGAGGAAGACCCAGGCCCACCCCCTCTTCATCCTGGGGCACACAGGGAGGAACGGAGAAGAGAGCAACGTTGGTTGCATGGCTTATGGGGGGAGGAAAGGGTCCTGATTCCCTTCATTAGCCACACCTGGGAATGAAAGTTTAAAAGAACTGAATGCAAACTACGGCAACTGCTGGAAGCAAACGTGACTTTATCCTGTGTTGTCTTTGCTTATCTGTGTTTCTGGCATCTTCCCAACTGTGTGAATTTTGCCATGCCCTTATGTCTGGAATTCTTGCTCCTACCCTGCCAAACTAATTACCTCAGTTTGGCTTGAGCTGCAGTTTTTGTTGACGATGTTTTGGACTTGATTCCCTGCAGTTAAAGGCTGTTCCTGGGAGAGCTTTTCTCCAGCCAGAAAGTAACCTGGACATTGGGGGCTAAGTTGGAGCTATTAAAGGGACTCTTATTGATTATCTGACTGTGTTGCCTTTGTGCCATGCCCCGAGTCATTACATTAGGTATGTTTGCTATCTTCAGTTTTATATAAAATATTTTATATAATAAGCCAAGATATAATAATAATATCTTGACCCCCAGTGAGGCATTACCTTGGTGTGATTGTGGGGATTGTGTGCTCTGAGGAAGATGAGAACTATGTCAGTAGTACAACCATACTGGACAGGTCCCATTAGAAGTTAAAGAGTGTCACTCCCATAAAAATATAGTAAGATGTAAATTACAAAAACTCATACTGTGATTGTCAAAAAATCTTTTTGCTCTCTGATTCTGACCAAGATCTGCTGCATCCCATCCCCCATGTGTGTGTGTGTGTGTTGTCGTTTTTTTTTTTTTTTTTACTGTAGACAGTAACATTTATTGAATCTGTACTCTTATCTTTGCAAAGTACTGCATATTATTACAGAGTCCATGAAAATTGTAAAAAGACTGACTTTTAACTATCAGACTGATACCAAAGAGCGTATGCTTTTTAAAACAAAAAATGACAAAAGTCCCATCATGAATGCAACATTTTTAAAGTTTTTCTTGTCCTGCTATGCAGTCTTTGCTAGCCAGCTAATTATAAAACCTGGTTTTGATCTCACAAAGCTATTTAGCACCTCTACTTGAATTTGTTTTTACAGGTCTCTCTCTCTCTCTCTCTCTCTCTGTGTGTGTGTGTGTGTGCTAACTTACAGAAGTGATGAGATCATAGGTCAAGTTAAAGGTGACAAAACTGTGAATTAAGGAATAGCCTGGATGCACAACCCTGGGGACGGGGGAGGGGGAGAGAAGGAGGGAGAGGGAGCTTGTGAAGGCTGAAAAATATTTGCTATCTCAGTGACCTAGGACAAAGTTACTTCTTCTTCGTAATTTTAGAAACACATTAAAAAATGATATACAGGGCGATCACCTCACCAAATACTTGGTGGGGAACAACCCAGAATGACAATCTCCACTGTGTGTTATATCCATTTCCAAAGAATTTGCAAAGAACTATTCTAGGCTCTTTCTCCTTTAGTAATGTTGAGAAAAGGTATCCCAATGTTATCTGATAACAACTTACAAGCAGATAAAGGTAAGTTCTTTGAATGATGATATATTACCAAATAAGTCTATGATGGAAAATTTGATCATCACTGAGAAATTATTTGTAATGATTGCTAAGAACATTTCCATGGCAGAGGTTCCTTCTTTTGGGTGTAATCTTTTAGCATGTAGGAATTCTAGTTCCCTCTCTGGGCTTGCTGCAATCAGAATGCCAATCTTGACTAGTATTTGGTCTTGTCAGAGAGAGTCTCATCCATTCCCCTAGGAATATCTAGGGCAGGGGTGTCAAACTCGTGTCGTCACGGCGGCATCATGTGACATATTGTGACTTTTTTTCCCCCTTCACCACACTGGGTGTGGCCAGTCTGTGATGCATCCAGCCCACGGGCAGTGAGTTTGACAACCTTGATCTAGGGGAATATCTAAGATGCTAGACTATCTTAGTGTTCTTCAATTCCTACATCCACATACTGCCGGCAAACTATTCCTAGTATTTAGTATTTATTTGATTTGTCAATTGCTTACAAGATAATAGGTATAAGTAAAAACATAGTTATGAATACATGGATACATATAAGAAAAATAAAAAACAATAGGACATGGACAGTAGGCACAATTGGTGTACTTATGCACGCCCCCTACAGGCCTCTTAGGAAGAGTGTGAGGTCTATAGTAGACAGTCTAAGGTTAAAGTTTTTGGGGTTTGGGGAAGAAACCACAGAGCCAGGTAGAGTATTCCAAACATTGACCACTCTGTTGCTGAAGTCGTATTTCCTGCAGTCAAGTTTGATGTGGTTAACCTTGAGTTTGTATCTATTGTGTGCTCTTGTGTTGTTATGGTTGAAGCTGAAGTATTCATTTGCAGGTAGGACATTGCAATGTATGATTTTATATACTATATTTAGATCGGACCAGTGGCGGCATAGTTCTAGGTTTTCTAGGTCTAGAGTTTCAAGTCTGGTGGCATAAGGTATTCTGCAATGAGTAGAGGAGCGGAGAACTCTTCTTGTGAAATATTTCTGGACTTTTTCAATTGTGTTAATATCAGATACATGATATGGATTCCAGACTGATGAGCTGTATTAAAGTATAGATCTAGCAAATGTTTTGTATGCTCTAGTTAGTAGTGTGATAGAGAAGAAGCTACGTAGCATTAGGTTAACACCTCTTAATGCCTTTTTGGCTATGTAGTTACAGTGGGCTCTAGCACTTAGATCATTTGAGATGAGTACTCCAAGGTCTTTGACAAAAGTTTGGATCCTCAACAAAGTCTTGACTATTTAGCTTGTATTTTATTTTCTGATTTTTTTCTGCCAATATGTAAGACAAAGCATTTATTTGTTGAGATTTGAAGTTGCCATTTGATATACCATTCTGATACACAGTCAAAGTCTTTTTGGAGGGTAGTAGTATTGTCTGTGGTGTTGAATAGCTTGATCTTTGTTATTTTCCAATCATTATTTATTTATTTGTTTATTTTTATTTATTTATCAAACATTTACAAGGTAACAAGTACAGGTATGAACATAAACATGAACAAAGGAAGTAAATACAAATAAATGGGAACAGTAAGACAGGAACCGTAGACATGCTGGTGCGCTTATGCACGCCCCCTTAGGAATGGGGTAAGGTCCATGGTAGACAGTTTGAGATTGAAGCTGTGAGGGGTTGAGGCTGTAACAAGGAAGTCAGGTAGGGCATTCCAGGCGTTTACCACTCTGTTGCTGAAGTCGTATTTTCTGCAATCGAGTTTGGAGCAGTTTACCTTAAGTTTGTATCGGTTGTTTGCCCATGTATTGTTGTGATTGAAGCTGAAGAAGTCATTGACGAGCAAGATGTTATTGCAGACAATTTTGTGAACAATGCTTAGATCGGACCACAGGCAGCACAGTTCAAGATTGTCCAAGCCCGCTGTTTGAGTTTAATATAGTTATTCTCTTTCAATGTAGTACATCTTGACGTCAAATATATCCTCAAATACTTAACCTTATTCGTGACTTATTCAAACAGCAGATAGCATTTGACCTGAAGAAATGGGAAAACCTACAACTGTCATTAATAGGCAGAATTTCAACAATCAAGATGAATATTTTACCCAGAATTTTATATTTGTTCCAAACAATACCAATTAAGCTTGGCAAAGATTATTTTGAAGACTTAAATAAAATTGTGTTGAAGTATATATGGCAAGGCAAGAAAGCGAGAATAAAATTAAAACTTTTACAAGATGCTAGAACTAGAGGAGGATTTGGCCTTCCTAATTGGGAGTTGTACTATCAAGCTGCAAATTTGATGTGGGCCAAAGAATGGATAACATTAAGAAAGACTAGATTGTTGACACTAGAGGGACATGATTTATTACTGGGCTGGCATGCTTTTCTGTGGTATAAGGGAACTAAATCGCAGGGCTATTTTAGAAGGCATTATATACGGGAGTCTTTATGGTTAAACTGGGAGAAAATTAAGAGACAATGTTATTTGAAAATCCCAGTTTGGTTATCAACTATTGAAGCTTTTTCTTATCCTATAACATACAAGAAGGAACAAACAGTTAGATATGGGGAAATATTGGATGAAAAGGGTGAACTTAAAACGATGCAAAATCTAGAAGAACAAGGTATAAAGATGAATTGGTTTTCATATGCGCAAATACATTCAAGGTATATTAAAGATTCTAAAACAGAGGGATTCTATGATAAATTGACTGACTTAGATAAGATTTTGACAGGTACTGATGAAAAAGTGATTAAAAAATTATATGGTTATTTACTGGAAATTAAACTAGAGGAAGAACAAGTTAAAGAAACTATGATTGTTTGGGGGAAGAATTTTGGATATGGGATTGATTTAGAGAAATGGCAAAAATTGTGGTCTCAAAATTATAAAATGACAATGTCAACAGCATATAAAGAA